AACAAATGTGACATTAGACAACCGTCACCTTAGGCCTTTGATACTCATGGTAGTGGAGAGGCGTTTTGTGAACGTGAATGAAAACTCAACAGCTGACACTATCAGGCGTTGAAATACAATACTTTCTTTCGTGAGGAGAAGGAAGGGCTTCGATAATCCTTTTTCAGCTTAAGAAGCTACCTCTTTCCATAACCAACCACTTTTAAAAGTGGTAATGATAAGATTTGCTAGTTAAACACTTAGTCAGTGTATGGTGTTTGAAGGAAGTGGAGCTTAATAGTGTGGAATCTCAAATGGTGGTAGCAAAACAAGGCAATATAATAGGCTATAGGTGCTCTGAGAGATTCGTTGATCCATCAATCCACCCGGCTGTTTTAGTGCCTTCATTTATGTGTAAGTAAGGTAAAATGGAAGTTTAAAATGGCAAACAAGGGTGCGCGGGACAAGGAATAAACTTGTCCTTGGTTGTCTCACAATAGGTGGTTAAGTAGACTCTGTCATCATTGTCTTGGTTGTTATAGCTATCTAGTCACTAACATGTTCCAATTGTAGTGCAAAGATTGCACCTTAATCCGAATTGAAAGGAATCCCATGTAGAAGACTAAAAGAACTGAGTCTCCTACTCTTGGCAGGCGGGCTGCCTTAAAAGCAATGTCAAGTAATGCAATTACAGGGTCGTGATCATTAGTTATAGCATCAACCTCCTCCTTGCATAGCATTCAAAAGTAGGATCCAGAATCATGTGGCCGTTGCCCTACAAAGACTTGGCCTCCCGTATCAAGTCCATGGCGTATTGCAGTAATCGCAGGGGATGAGGCTGGCCAACAAATACCAACCACTTGCGGTAGGTGACGTTGCGATTAAATAGTTGATTTTGAGTAAACTCAATGTGCCCTTATTTTCGACACAAACAATTCCTTACTGTCGAGGAAGTGTAAACGTAAAGATTTGCCACAATCATTCCTAAACTTTTACAAAAAGCCATTGCATGGTAAAATTTTCCCAAATTGCGGTGATACTTTGTCGTTTGGAGCATTTGAAAGGCTGTGCCACTCCTTAGCCAGTTACCTTCTAGTGTTAATTCGCTGTAGAGCTTGTTGGATAATT